GTTCGAAGCGGGAGGTTTTATGGTAATTGCTGAATATGGTTTCTTTTATTGAATGAGTGAAGTTATTGGCGGAGAAGGTGGGAGCGGAAGAAGGAAAGCTTGGTGTTGCTAGGGTCGGTTTCTAGGGCTTTGAGCAGACTATTATTGATGACATATTTATTTGCAAGACCGCAGCTCAACCTCAGGAAGATTCCTATTGTTAGAGGTTCGCAAATTTCCGCCAATTTCAGGCACACTCAAAGACCCCGCCTCCGCAGCCCCACAGCACCAAAGCACGGCTCCAAGGCAAGATTCACAGGACCACGCTCAGCTGCGGTTTCTTTGCTCTCTGTGCCCTGTCTGCCCACGGTGCTGACACAATCCCGCCAAACCGCTAATTGCCGTCTCTGGAGTTTGTGATACCACCCACCTGTGGCGTCAAAGATGCAAGCATTTTCAAGTGTGTTGGAGTCAGGGGAGTACCTGCTAGTGACCTGCGGTCCTGATATCCTTGGCAAGGAAAAGCACGGTGTCTCCCAGTCTGACCCAAGCCTGCTCTGTGATCCACTGAGAGGGGAGGGAGCTGGCCATTCTGGCGCAACATTGAGATCTCCGCCTGAATCTCAGGAGTGGTGCTCGTGCCCGCCAGCACCTAGACGAGCCAAGTTACCAACAAAATCAGCTGCTGGAGGCAGATGTCTGCCGCTGCCTGCTGGAATATTGGAGTGGTCGCTGGTATGCTGCTATAAGGTGACTTCCTTCTTGGCTTGAGGATCTCAGGCGGTCGCCCTCGCCCGGCAGACAGTGACTGCCCCAGAAAAGTTTGCAGTGGTCTCTCTTGGGTGCCCGTCTGTCCTCCGCTACTGGCTTTTTCCTAAATAATCTCCCTCTGCCTTTCCTCTAATTCTGCTTTTCTGTGTTTGGTGCACTGTGATTCAGTGAGCTGTTCAGATCACCAAAGTTGCTAATTCAAACTGTTGTACCAAGTTTTCAAAGTCCTGAGATGCCAGAGGGAAAAAAAAGTGTGCTACTCACTGGCAAGACTCCATTTTGAATCCCCAACATCTGATTTCTTGACTGTTGCTTCCATGGGTGTTGACTGTGGATCCAAGTAAAATGATATCTTTGACAACTTCAGTCTTTTCTCCATTTTTTGTGATGGCACTTACTGGTACAGTTGTGAGGATTTTCGTTTTCTTTATGTTGGGATGTAATGCATACTGCAGACTATAGTCTTAGGTCTCCATCAGTAAGTGCTTCAAGTCATCCTAACTTTCAGTGAGCAAAGTTGTGTCATCTGCATAACATAGGTTGTTAATGAGTCTTTCTCCAATCCTGATGCCATGTTCTTCTTCCTATGGTCCAGCTTCTCGGATTATTTGCTCAGCAAACAGATTGAATAAGTCTGGTGAAAGGTGTATATTCCCAGAGATGGTATGCCAGTTTTTAATTTTATCCGCAATGCATAAACATATCCCTGTTATCACTACCTTGTCGGCACTGGTTTTATAGATTCTGGATGTAAGACCTTCGTTGTAAATGTGACTTACAAATAGTTTCTCCCAGTTTGTGGGCGAAATGCATCACCTTTTTTGTCATGGGTTTTGCTTTTGATGTCATACCTAGGAATCCTTGTAACACAAAATCACAAAGATTTTCTCCTATTTCCTTTAGAATTTTTGTTGTTTTCAGTTTTATATTTAAGCTCATGATCTCTTTTGTGTTACTGTTTGCATACGGAAGGAGCTATGGGTCAAGATTTTTTTCTTTCTTTTTTTTTTTTTGGTGATTAGCAAAAAAAAAAAAAAAAATAGGAGCCCTGTTGGCTCAAAGTTAAGCACTTAGCTGCTAACTGAAAGGTTGATGCTCAAACCCACCTGTGTCACTGTGGAAGAAAAATACCAGGTGATCTGGTCCTGTGAAGGTGACCTCCCAGGACTACAATCTGGAGCAAGTGCATTCTGTCACCTGAGGTTGCCGGGAGTCGGGGTTGACTCAGCGGCACATGATAACAAGAGTGAAAGATTAGGAACCTTCCTGCTCTGGAAAGAAAGTGAGAGGAACTGATGGATCAAAGGCCTGTGTGTTGTTAGAGAAGAGGGGATGAGTTTGCCTTTGGTAGTTATATAAGATCTTCTTGAACAACATTATAAATATGTGTGTGTGTGTGTGTGTGTGTGTTAGGCTGGGTTCTCTAGAGAAACAAAAACCAGCAAAGCTTATATATAGAGAGAGAGAGAGAAATTTATCTTAGCAAAATGGCTCACAAACGTATAGAAGCCGGCAAGTCCAAAGTCCCTGGAGGAAACATCGGGCTGGAGGCAGCCTTAGCCTCCTCAACCGCAGGGGGCTGAGAAATTCAAGGCTGGTAGGCAGTCAACTGGCTGTTGACTCCAACGAAAGACGAATCCAAGATCTCCAGGCCGAGCGTGGGCTGCTTACTCACGGAAGGTTGTAGTCAGCACACCAGGTTCCAATCCCTCCAAGAATGTCTCTCTTCCCACGATGTCCCTGGATATCCTGGAAGCAGGCCACACCCCTAGGGAAACTACCCTTGGGCAGATTGGCCACTTAGAACACAGTCATCCGATCCCATCATGGGAACAACCACACAGAACCGGGGTCCAGCCAAGTTGACACACAGCTCCAACTATCACAATATAAATATATAATATATATAAATATATAACATATATGTATAAATATATATATATAATAGGAGCTCTGGTACCATAGTGTCTAAGGCACTTGACTGCTAACCAGAAGGCTGGCGGTTGAAACCCACCAGCCACTCCTTGGAAGGAAGGTTGGGCGATCTACTTCCATAGTGATACTGCCTTGGAAACCCAAGGAGGGGTCGCTATGAGTCGGTCCGATTCGAGGGCATATAATAACAACAACAACAACAACGTATATAATGTTATTTAAGAAGATCTTATATAACTACCAAAGGCAAACTCAATATAAAGAAAACAAAAATTCTCACAACTGGACCATGGACAGCATCATGATAAATAGAGAAAGGATTGAAGTTGTCAAAGTTTTCATATTACTTGGTTCTACAATCAACGCCAATGGAAGCAGCAGTCAGGACATCAGATGACATATAGCACTGGGCAATCTGCTCCAAAAGACTTCTTTCAAGTGCTGAAGAGCAAGGGTGTTTCCTTGAAGACTAAGATGCAGGTAACCTAAGCCATGGTATTGTCAGTCATGTCACAGTGAGAGCTGGACAATGAGGAAGACCGAAGAAGAGTCGATGCCTTCAGATAGTGGTGTTGGCGCAGAATGCTGGAAGTTCCCTAGACTGCCAGAGGAATGAACGGGTGTGCTGTGGAGGAAGTGTGGCCAGAATGCTCCTTGGAGGCGAGAGTGGCCAGACTTGGTCTCACCTACTTTGGTCATGTTGTCAGAAGAGACCAGTCCCTAGAGAAGGATGTCATGTTTGGTAGTGTGGACACACGTGTGCACGCACACACTGCCATCGAGTCGTGTCTGACTCACAGCGACCCCTCCTTGGGTTTCTGAGACGGTATCGCTACAGAAGTAGATTGCCCACCCTTCCTTCCGACGGTAGTGTGGAGGGTCAGTGAAAAAGAGGAAGGCCCTCAAAGAGATAGGTTGACCAAGGCTGTAACTATGGGTTCAGGAATAGCAGGGATCGTGAGGCTGGCACAGGAGCAGGCATTGTTTCGTTCCACTGTGCGTAGGGTCACTGTGAGTGGTGGACAACTGGACAGCACCTAACAACAACATGTATGACATGGGATGCAATACAGGGCAAATTATTGCTACCTCCTCTTATCTTAGGAGCTGGTGGGTAGTGCCTAAGGCATTTGACTGCTAACTAGAAGGCTGGAACCCAGTCCTTGAAAGGAAGATTGGGCAATCTACTTCTGTACAGATACTGCCTTGGAAACCCAAAGAGGGGTCGCTGTGAGTCAGAATTGACTCCACGGCAATGAGTTTGGTTTTGAGTTTACTCTTATCTTGAGTCTGCTTCAGGGCACACCTCAAATTAGTAGATGAAAGTTGTTGGAAACCACTTGGGTTATTTAAGGGATGGATTTGCTCATTTCACCTGGACAATTAATGTAATTGCATTAATTAATGCGCTTATTTATACAGCAAGCATTTTTGAGGATGTAAGAAGCACAGAGGGGCCTGGGAGGGATGGTGTAAGTTATCGGCTGCCAAGCAGAATGTCAGTGATTCGAGCCCACCAGCCGCCACATGAACCTCTGTCTCCTTTGCCATGAGAGCAGAAGCACTAGATGGTGCCCAGCTCCCATGACCAAATGTTTTGATCTAGGATGCTGTAGAAGAATCTTCATCAAAAGGGGGGTGGGAATGGAAGAGACTTTCCTGCAGGAGAAGGATGAGGCAGTGTGCTTCCTTTAAGATTACAGCCTCGGAAACCCTGTGGGGCAGTTCTCTGTCCTCCAGGCCTGCTATGAGTCCGAATGGACACAATGGGAAGGTACAAAGTCCTGTACAAGATGCTGTTAGGAATTAATTTGTTTCTGTGGGCTCCGTGAATCAGGTGTCTGCAATTAATGTACAGTTTCTGGGATCATAGGGAATCAAAGTAATTAACTTTCTGGAAGCACAGCGTTATCATTAAGTAAGAATCATCTGTCACTGTTAAGTGTCTTGGGTTCTTGTTATGGTACCTTCCTTCCAGTTGATTCCAAGTCATAGCGACCACGTGTTACGGAGTGGCACTGCCCCTAGAGATTTCCTGGCTGTTGTTTTTGTAAGACCAGATCACCCGATCTTTCTCCTGCCAAGCTGCTCCTGGGTTTGCACCACAGCTTTCCAGGTTTACAGCTGAGGTACCATTTACTTAACGTGCCACCAGAGTTTCTTGGGAATATACTAATAATGTTAACTGACGGACTTTGATGAATAAGAAAATTGTGTCACGGATATGGCTTGGAGATGTTTGTAAAATCAGTGTTCTCTCAGGATGGGCCACGCCACCCGCCCAGCCCTGGTCACTGGTTGTGTTCTCTCCGCAGGTCATCAGCTCTATGAGTTCCCTGTCTGAGTACTGTCTGCCGTCTATTCTGCGCACGCTGTTCGACTGGTATAAGAGGCAAAATGGAATCGAGGACGAATCACACGAATACAGACCAAGAACAAGCAATAAAGCCAAAAGGTACCTTTGTGTTGTGTAAGGAGTGTCTTTCTTTTTCTCTTTCCTCCTCCTCTTCCTTTTTTTTTTTTCTCTTTTATCTTTGTGAAATGTACACAAGAAGGGATACACTGTTTCCATACGTTCCAGTGTGTACAGTTCAGAACCATTGGTTATGTTCTCCAGTGGTGCTTCTGTGTCCACTATTCTCTTCTGTGTTCTTCCGCCAGCGTGGACACAGAGCCACTGCCCCTAGGCTCCCTATCCAACCTTTCAGGATACTGTTCCCGATTTGATCCCACTTAGATAAATCTTTGAAACAGTGCATGCTCAGGGAGACATACTGGATCCAAGCTGGCTTCCAGCACAAGATTTGGTTGGAGGTTCGAGGTGTAAAGATTATCTGTGAGGTGCCTGGGGTCTTATAAGCTTGCAGGGGGCCATCCGAGGTATAGCAGTAGGTCTTCTGTTCATCAGCAATAGCAGAGAAAGGAGGGGAGGCAGGAATCAGAGGAGGGAATGCTGCCACATGAACCGCTGCCTCCTTTACCATGAGAGCAGAAGCACTAGGTGGTGCTTTGATCTCGGAGGCTGTAGAAGAATCTTCATCAAAAGGGGGGTGGGAATGGAAGAGACTTTCAAATTCCCGATGGAATCCAGACATTCTGGATCCATGGAGGCTGGATGACTACCTGAAATGATTGTCCTGAGAGAATCCTTAAACCTTTTCTTAAGAACCATAAATCAGGAGTGTTGTGTGGCTTGTGGGTGTTCTGCTTCTAACCACAGATCCCTCGCAGGCACTTGAGGGACCACCCCATCTGTAGCACGTTTTTTAAACTGGTCTCTGCCACCTGTTAGAGGTTGGAAATTCATTGTTGTTGTTGCCTGTTGCTGTTGAGTCAATTTTGCCTCATACCAACCCTGGGACAGAGGAGAACTGCCCCCATAGGGTTTCCTAGGCTGTAATCTTTATGTGAATAGGTTGCCACATGTTTGTTCCAAGAAGCCACTGGGTGGGTTTGAACCTCCAACCTTTCGGTTAGTGGCTGAGTGCTTAACTGGTGCACTTCCGGGGCTCTCTGAAAACTCAGCGAGGGCTTCAGGTCACCCTGTTACCTGCTCCTTTCCTGTGCCCTCTCTCCAGCCGATACCCTGGTCTGCATGACCTCCAGGGGCTGCCTGGGGGATGTGTCAGCCCTGGGTCGAGTGAGTCACTTTGAGTAGCCAGTGCCCGGTGGTCAGAAGGACTCTGGACTGGAAGCTAGTGGGGCTCCTAGGGCCACCACTAGTTAGCCACGTGACGTTGGGTCATTGTGCACCGCTGTGTGCCTCTTCATCCGTCTCGAGATGTTTGCTCTGCTGCAGCAAAATCTTCTGAGTCCTCAAACCTTCAATAAATGATGACATACATTTGCACTGGCGATGCAGTGGCTACAGCACTCAGCTGCTAACCAGAAGGGCAGTGGTTCAAACCCACCAGTGGCTCCATGGGAGAAATATAAGACGGTATTCTTCCATAAACATGACAGCCTTGGAAACCCTGTGGGGCAGTTCCACTCTGTCCTCTAGGGGCGCTGTGGGTCAGAATGGACTCCACGGCAGTGGGTGTGGTTTGGGCTTT